CCCCGGCTCCCTTGGTGGCCTGCCTGGGCCAGGTGCGCCCTCTTCCTGCCCTGTTGCCCTCCCTGCCCGGCAGGGCTCATGAGGATCCCCAGGGGCGTCCTTCCTTGTCCCTGCGGGACCCTCGGCCGCCAGCGGGGCCCGTGCCTGTGAACCCGCGAGGGGGGAAGGGTTCCAGAAAGGCCGGCTCCCTCCGACGGCGCGGTCCAGGCAGAGCCGAGTCCAGGCCCGGTGCCTGGTGGGGACCAGCGGCCAAGAGGGGCCCGCTGTCCGGGGTTGGAGAGGAAAAGTCGTCTCCCCGTGCTGCTGGGCTCATTGGGAGGGGGCGCGAGGAGGGAAAGGCTGAGGCCGGAGGAGGGCGCAGGGCACCTCCTGGGAAGTCGGGCCAGAGCAGGGGAGGACGGTGTCCCTCAGCCCAGAGTGCACTGTCCTTCCAGGAGCTGTCCCCTATCCCAAGTGCAGCCTGGATCACCTTCCACGCACCTCAAAGCTTCTGTTGCCCCACAGCGTTCTGAGCCAGAATCTAGACCAGGGAGGCCAGACGCCGCCGTGGGCCTTCCCACGCAGATGATGATAATCACAATTATAATTATATAGAATAAATACATAATAATGTTTATTAGTAGTCGTATTGGGGCTTGAACCCAGAGGTGTTTATCACTGAGTCACATCCCAGCCCTTTTTTATTTTTTATTTGGGACAGGGTCTCACTTAGTTGCTTAGGGCCTCACTAAATTGCTGAAGCTGGTCTCAAATTTGTGATCCTGCTGCCTCAACCTCCTAGCTGCTGGGATGGCAGATGTGCGCCACCTCGCCCAGTGGATGCAGATAATTAGATGCAGCTCCTAAATCACATCAGAATTCAAATCTTGGGCCCTATGAGGCTGTTCTGGGGGTTGCAGGAGGGATGCCCAGAGAGGGTGGGTGGGGTGCTCCTACCAGCACTTCTTCTGAGGTTCCTCCTAGCGCTCCGCCTTCACCATCCCTGCCCAGGCTAAGGCGACCTGGCGTCCTGGAGAGTGCAGCTTAGTCCTCCAGGGCAGATGACCTATTGCCCCTCTGCAGGCTGGTTCCCACCGCTAACCCAGTTACCCTCCATCATCCACGTGGATAAGTGGGTGAAACAAGAAGCCTCAGGGGTTGGAGTCCTTTCCCCTTGGCTTGGGAGTGTAGAGGGGGCTCTGCAATAGACCTGCTTTCTGGCTCAGTGGTGAACAATTAGTCTGTGCAGCTCAGAACGTGCCTCCGCAGGGGCAAAAGCCAGGCCCCATGAGATTATAGTAGCCACCCCCAGGTGGCGCTGTCCAGCCTTGGGTAGTCGTCGGACACACGGTAGGATTCCGTGGAACCTCCACTTCTGTCCAAGCCCTGGATCCAGAAACCACCAGGGACACAGCAGGACTGAACAAGAGTGGCTCACTTCTGTGGCAGAGAGGGAGAGAGTACCCGCTGGGAGAGGAAGCTGCGAGAGGGGGCTGGGTGCGGTGGGGAAGCAGGCCAATGCAGCCCTTGGGCATCTCGAGAGATTTTACCCATAGGGAGGGAAACCAGACCAAGGCTAGGGCTATAATTGGTTAAAAAAAGAAAATAGCCGTCACTTATCAGCCCAGAGAGGTGGTGTCTGGGGTTCTGTGGCTTGGACTGTGGGGGTGTTTTGTCTGTATTCAGGCATGACTTTGGAGAGGTCCTGTTTTTGTCTTCATCCATCACAGTCCCAGAGTGGCCTTATGCGATGTTGATGCTCTGTGTAATTGTTCCTTAGCTCCAGGGCTCAGCTGTGAGTGCCAGCCAGCTCTTAGTGGAACTGGTCCTTCTGGACCACAGGACCAGACGAGACAGCCCCCAGATGTCCTGGGCTGCAGCTACAATGATTTTCTTTTTTTTCTTTCCCCTCCCTCTCTCCCTCCCTTCATTCCTTCCATTTTTCCTCTCTTTTCCTTTCTCCCTCTCTCTCACTTTCTTTCACAGTGCTGGGGATGAAACCCAGGGCCTGGAGCGTGTTAGGCAAGTGCTGTGCCTCTGGGCTGTGTGTACCCCCAGCCTCAGTCACAATTATTTTTTATATGATTTTTTTAGAGAGAGAGAGAGAGAGAATTTTAATATTTATTTTTCAGTTTTCAGCGGACACAACATCTTTGTTTGTATGTGGTGCTGAGGATCGAACCCGGGCCGCACGCAATGCTACCGCTTGAGCCACATCCCCAGCCCCTTATATGATTTTTTTATACAATCAACCCACATTGGCAAAGGCTCTGTCCCTACAAAACCCAGCGAGGGTCTCTGAGAGAGCCATGTTGGACTCATAACAGAAGAGAGGAGCAGTCGGGGTAGATCATCGACGGCACATAGAATTTTCTGTTTCCCAGAAAAATATCTCAAAGGCTCTTGGGTGACTGTGGTCCTGGATCATCCTGCACCCCTGCTATTCCACCTTACCTGCTGACATGTCCACGGGAGCTTGCTGTCACCCCTCCTGCCAGGCGAGCCTTGTCAACAGTGCACAGATGATTCTTTCTGACTTACACACAGAGACTAACTTCTTCACCGATGGGATCAAAATTTTATCCCAGGGTGGGCTAACCTGGGCCCTGGACAGTAGCTGGGGGACCCTTCAAAGAGCCCTGTGATCTTGACAGAAAGGGTCCAAGAAAGACCTGGGTCATTTTAGCTGATTGGACAAAGGATTCAATGAACGCACTGCTGAATTGAAGTGTGTTCTCGGCAGTGACCCTTCTGAAGATCTGTCAAATTCACACTTATGTTTGTCTCCAAAAGCATTTATTTATTTACCTATTTATTATTTTTGGTCCTTGGAATTGAACCCAGGGGCTTTTATCACTGAGCTACACCTCCAGTCCTTTTATTTTAAAACAGGATCTTGCTAAGTTGCTTAGGTTCTCACTAAGTTGCTGAGGCTGGGCTTGAACTTGCAATCCTCCTGGCTTCAGCCTCCTGAGCTGCTGGGATTGCAGGCATGTGCCACCAAGCCCAGCTCATATTTAATACTTTTTATAGCAAAAATATGTTTGCTGGGGCTGGGGTTGTTGTGGCTTAGCGGTAGAGCGCTTGCCTAGTGTGTGCAATGCCTTGGGTTCGATCCTCAGCACCACATAAAAATAAATAAACAAAACAAAGGTATTGTGTCCAACTACAATCAAAAAAATAAGTATTAAAAAACAATGTTTGCTGCAAAAACCATGTGGCCTAGATGCCAGTCAGCAGTGACACTGGCTGTCCCTCTGCCTGTACCAACTGGAGAGCCGTGAGGCGTGGATCAGTGCTGTTCCAGTGCTCACTCCAGAGGTGGGGAAACTGAAGCTTAGAGGGGGCTAAGGAACTTGTTCAAGGCTGGGCGGGGTGGTACACGCCTATAATCCCAGTGACTGGGGAGGCTGAGGCAGGAGGATCACAAGTTCAAAGTCAGCCTCAGAAACTTATCGAGGCCCTAGGTAACTTCGTGAAACACTGTCTCAAAATAAAAAAGGGCTGGGGGTGTGGCTCAGTGATAAAGTGCCCCTGGTTCAATCCCTGGTACCAAAAAAAGGAACTTGTTCAGGATCACAGTGCTGATCTGTGAGCACCAGGTGCCGTAGTTTGTATCTTCCCTGAAGTCTCGTGTGTCGGAGGCTTGGCCCTGACCCCTGTGCTACTGGGGCGAGTGGAGGGAAGTTAGGCTGTTGGGGGTGTGCTCTTGAAGGAGGAATTGAGACCCAGCTCCTCCTTTCTCTCTCTCTCTCTTCCTGGCTGCCAGGAGGAGAGCAGCTCTGCTCCGCACACACTCCTGCCACGCTGTGCTGCCTCTCCACAGACCCGAATAATGCCAACAGCCCACCGTGGACTGAAGCCGTGGGCCCAAATAGACCTTTTCTCCTTTTAAGTTGGTTACCTCAGGCATTCTGTCACAGTGACAGAAAGGTGGACAAACACCCACCAGGACAGGCCCTCTGGCTCTAGAGATGGCTTCCACAACCAGCCTGGGATGCCACTTTGTCTTAAGCAGCAGGAGGTGATCCACAGGACTGGATCCTGGGGACCAGGGACATTGATGCTTTTCTCTGGGTCTGAACCTCCCTCCTTGCTCCTTCAAGGTCACAGGGAGAACTCGTGTGTTGTGGCCTGGGCCACATAGGCCCACACAGGACACACGTGATAGCTGTTAGCGATGGGGACTGCCCTGGTTCCCCCTTTTCCCCCCCAGGGCTGAGCTGCCCGCTTCTCCCAGGTTCCTGAGTCCGTGTCATCCCAGTCCCCACATTAATGGGAGCTGCGGTGGGGAGCCAGCCAGCCCTGGGAGAGCAAAGATGGGGGAGACTGGAAGTCACAGTGGCCCTGGCTCACAAATAGGGTTGTTAGGAAAATCGGGGGCTCACCAGAAAAATAGGGATGACACGGCCTCAGCTGGCCCCTCTGGTCTTTCCTGGACTCGTGTCCAGCTTATGGCGGTCAGCCAGCCTTCCTCCTGGCCTGGCCCTCAGTGGAGCCTCCATCCAGGCCTCCCTGCATGCAGCCACCTGGCCACCCACCCACCACCCCTACACGGTCAGGCTCCTGCTTTGAGCCTTCCAGCTGACGCTCTCTGAGGTTCCAGAGAGAAGAACGTTTGCACGGGTTCACAGGGTCAAGGGTAAGCGCTAACCTGAGAGGCCCCGGCTCCCCTCCCTGCCCTTGGTCTGTAGGAGGCTATCACAGATCTCCAGCAGGTGGCGCTGAGGCCCTCTCCTCACCGGGGTGACCCGCCCACTACCTCTTGCTGCTGACCAGAACTGGAAAAGATAGGTCAGCCGCCTAGCCTGAGGCCACCTGAGTCCTTCCCCACCCAGCCCCAGGTTAGTAGGCAAGGCAGAGGAGCGCTCCCAAGAGATCCTGCCCTGACAGCCGCACTAACAGCTCCTTTAGGGACACCACTGCCGGTTCTAGTGACTCACAGTGGGGATGAGGGGAAATTCCACGTTACTTCAAGAACAATCACTTCTTTTAGAAAAAGCTGGACAAGATAAGCACCGTAACGTTAATGTGAGGTCAGTGACTTTCTTTTTGTGGTGCTGGGGATTGAACCCAGGGCCTTGTGCCTGCGAGGCAAGCACTCTACCCACTGAGCTATATCCCCAGCCCCTTGGTGACCTTTTTAAAGAATAGCAAAACCCAGTCTTGGGTTCCCTGGGAAAGGCCAGGTGGGGCTCCCCTGGCAAAGCTGTGCCTGGGGCACCTGGTTCTGAAATGGGCAGCAGAATATCACAGGCTCCCGACAGGTGGACCCAAGTCCAAGGTACAGTGAGTGACCAAGTCAGACGAGTGGGCAGGAGCAGAGCCAGGGGTCCAGATGCTTCCAAAGTGTGTCTGTGGCCTGGGAAAGAAGACACCAAGTCTGGGCTGGAGGCACGGCTCAGGGGCAGAGCGCAGGCCTCGTGCGCAGCAAGGCCTTGGGACAGGTGGGCAGAGCCGGTGGGGGGGGGCTGTCTTTGGTCCCATGTAGCTTCTCTGGGCCTCCTTTAGAGGACCAGGTGGTCTACAGGTTGACAGCAAACCGGTTTGTTGCTGCCTGATGGAAGGACCCCAGTGGGAGGCCCTAGGTTCCCTTCCCCGATGGGGGTCTCAGTTCTCAGGGTCCCCAGAGGTGGGCAAGCCACAGTGGTATGAGGGCACTTTGGAGATTATGAGTTAGGGCAGGGGAGATGCAGGGGCGTGTGGGTGGGCAGGGTGGCCTCGTGGGGTGGGGCAGGTCTCAGATGGAGACTCCCAGGGTTGACACTGGAATCTGTCCGTCACCAACGCCTGGCTGACCCTTCTTTGCTGCATTCCGAGAGTGCCCTGTGGAGGGACAGAGCCATCTTTGGATCTGCACAAATCTCTGTGTCACATGCCCCATCAGCACCTCCGCAACCTCTTCTCTGCCTCAGCTTTCCTCAGGGTCTAGAGCAGGGAGCTGGAGTCCAGGTGACGGGGGTGGGCCAACCCTTCTGGGATCCGTGGCTCCCAGCCCTGACTGTCCCACCCCCTCCCTCGTCCCCAGTCATCTTGACACAGCAGCGTGGAACCAGAGACCCCAGTTGCTGCTGGACACCAGCAAAGCGCTTCCCTGGTCTGGGCCTTAGGTTTCCTTGTCCATCAGATGGGTACAGCTGACTTGCCCAGGCTGCCTCCAGGGCTGGGGTGACAGTGGGACCACATAGTGTGCCTTGTAAACAAGGGAAATAGCACGTCAGCCACTGCTGCCTCTCCGTGCCTCTCCCCAGCTCGATGCAGTCTGCAGACATGTTTTGTTTGAAAAATTCAGCAGTAAAATCTTTTTAATTAAAAAAATTTTTTACTGGCATTAAAAATATCAGATTCTGGGGCTGGGGTTGTGGCTAGGAGGTAGAGCGCTTGCCTGGCATGCATGAGGCACTGGGTTCAATCCTCAGCACCATGTAAAGCAAAATAAAGACATTGTGTCCACCTATATGTAAAAAATAAGTATTAAAAAAATCAGATTCTTCCACAGGATTTTAAAGAATTTACTTCCTTGTCTGACTGTACAGAAATATTCCCACAAGGTAACCCTCAGGCTCTTCAAGCTGCTTCAGTCTCCAGAGCACCCTCCATGTCCTGTCATGTCCCCAGCCAGGCTGAGGGTCAGGCGCTGTGTGTCACGTGGCTGGTTTCACCCATTGCACCACTCACCTGAGTCTGCAGCCTTTGCATTATTTAAATGGGAGGCACTGGGTGGCAGTCACTCCCTCTGGTCATTTTCAGGCTGGGCAGCCCCTGCCTTCCCAGGCTCTCTCTGGCCCTGTGCATGGATAGAGCACATGGGACAGACAGGGCTGTTGGGGACAGGGCAGCTGGCTGAGCCTTCCCAGGACGTGATGCCCCTCCCTGGCTGTTTCCTGAAAGCACCTTCTTTGCCCAGGTGTGGCCTGCACCATGACCTTCTCGCAGAGCCGTCACCTCTGAGCCAGGCTCCAGTTCCTTCCTGGAATCCCACCTGGGGCTTGGACCTTTGGAGCAGTGTTTTCATCCATCACTAGTTTGCTGTGTGACCTCAGGCAACCTAGACAGAACCTCTGGTCTGCTTGGTAGAAGAACTGAGTGGAGGGCCGAGACAAAGGCAAAGGGGAGAGGCCATCGCAGGGATCAAAGAGCATTCAGGTAGGAGAACCACGGGCACCATGAGGCAAGGGCTGGGAGCCGCATTTCCTGAGTTCAAATTCCTGTTCCACCTTTTGGCACTTGGGGACAATTATAGTACCCACCTCGACAAGGTAGTTGAGGGAGTCAAATGAAACCATCCACGAGAAGCACCTGTCACCCACAGCAAGTCCCCAGGAAACACTTAGCAATTGTCATTGTTGGGACAAGAGGGTGCAGAACCCGAGAAGGCAACGGAGGCTCCCCTGGGCCGAGCTACCCACTCACCCTGGGTCCCACAGGTGGGGCTGGGTGAGTTGGCACCTTGGTTCTCAGGGGGTGGAACCTGGATTGGGTCATATGAATCCATGATGTCCCTGAGGAAGGCAGATGGACGAGGAAGAGGGGTGAGCACTGACCGTGCCCTGCCCAGTGTCGCTGCCAACGTGGGGGCTGTGAGCTGCGCTGGCCAGAGGTGGGTCCTCTGGGTCCAGCGTCACAAACACACCAGGGACACGGCTCCCCCACGGAGACCCATACAAGGCCTTGGGCTTGAGCGGACCAACTTGGATCACGGGGACGCAGGGGGTTCACCTTCTCCAAGGAGGGGGCAGGAACATAGGGGAAAACAGGGAGCTATTTCAAGAGGTGTCGAAGGCCGGAACACTAAAATTAGAGCCTCGGTTCCTAAAAAGACATTGGCGCCAACCAAGGTCTTGGAGAGGGGCTCTTCAGCACGGAATGTGACCCCAGGAAGCACTCCTGCGGGCCTGGGCAATGAGGTCAGCCTGCAAGGCCAATGGCACCGCCCAATGGCTGGTGGTCCCGGGCACCTCTCCCCTGGCCAGCCCCGCCCGCACACCCTGGAGCTGCTTCAGCCGCTTCCCGGCTGCGCCAGGCCAGCGCCAAGGCGAGGGGCAGAGCCGCCCGTTCCCGGTGCTGACTGACCTTCCAGCCGTGGCTTTCCTTTTTTGACCGTCCTTTTTGCTTTCTGCTCTACTCTGGGGGTGCGGGTGGAGGGGGGGATGCCCAGGTAGCCGTCTGGCAGCCTGGTGCTCAGCCCAGGAGCCCTGAGGGCCTGGGAGTCCCAGCCCAGCCGGCCTCGGGTCAGGAAGCTCAAGACTTCTTCCCCCCCTTGGTCTCTAGGCTCCCAGCACTCCACCCTCAGGGACATGGCCGCGGGGGCAGCAGGAGAAGTCCCATGAAGTCAGCCTCTGCATGGGACACCGAGGGCCCGCAGCCTTGCTGCACAGAGACGACTCCTCTCCGGCTCTCCAGGGCCTGGCCTTGTCCTTTCCTTTTATCCTAAGGTTTTTTCCAAGGCAGGAAGGGTGGCAAGTGGGACCTGTTGGCCTATTTCTGTTCAGTTTAGTGGCTGCCCACGGCCCCTGGTGAGACCTGACTCCCACAGTCAAGGAGGCCCCACAGAGCTCGGCCCTGCTCACCCCTCACCCCAGGCCCAGGCCCACGGTCATCGCTCCTGTCCACCAACACACCGAGTGCCTTTCACAGGGCCTGTCCACAGCCCTCCCTCTCCTTCCTCTTAGATGCCACCTCTTCAGAAAGGCCTTCCCAGGCCCTCGGAGAGGCTTATTCTCTTTCCGTTTCCGCAGGACCCTTCTCTCCTTTGGTGATACATCAGCTCCACGCAGAGCGCTGTGGGCTCCCCACTGTGACTCCAGGACTCGGGGCTCAGTAGCTGCTGGAAAACACAAATTGAGACAGAGACCAAGAGGGCAGTGCCTCCGTCACACTTGGACAGAGGGGCCCAGAGTGCGGGGAAGTGGCTGGGCCCCACTGGAGATGCGCCCCCCGGGGAAAGGAGACATACCTCACATCCACCAAGGAGGCAGCCAGATGATACGGTGGGGGCTCAGCTGAACCAGGGCCTGGGGACAGTCTGCATGCTCACCACACGGGTGACGGGTGGCTCGCTGGCTTCCTGTCCCTGGCAGCCTGGTTCCATGAGACTCAGGCAGAAGTGGACAAGCAGGTGGGCGTGGAGTCAAGGCTGGGAAGCCCCCAGAGCATCAGGGCAGAAGTGGGGGGGCACCGAGGAAGACGACAGGCACATCTCCCCCCAGCCTGGCCCCTCGTTCTCCCTGAGGCCCCAGGCCCCTAGTCTGAACTTCCAGGTTGCCATGCCATGCTTGGGGGCTTTCCATCATTTTTCTACCACTGACTCCTGAGTTTGGGTGGGTCCCGGTGAGATCTGGCCCTTGTAATTAATGAAATAGCAAAATGACAACAGCTACAGTTGGTCTTTCTCTTTTTCTTGACTCACACATTTCTGAGGACAGGGAGGGGCATTTGGGGTATTTGCAGAGTGCATGGTGGGTGTCGTGGGTGTTGGCTGGGCCCCTCTCACCCAGGGAGTGGGGCAGGGCAGGACGGGTCAGTCTCAAAAGCAGGAGGCCTCTGCACCTCCATGGTCACCTGTCTTGGGCCGACCTCCACTTCTCTCCCGGCTTTTCTAGCTCTTCTACCAGGGATGGCCGAGGAGCTCACGGATCTTGTCACCCATTCTGTGGACGGGGCAGGAGGGTCCTCTGAACTCCACACGCTCCAGGCTGCTGTGAGCCAGGTGTGGGTCACCGAGCCCGGGGCCGGAGACGCTCTCTGGCCACACTGCACACCTGCAGCTGCCCTGAGTCCCGCGTGGGGAGGGGGCTGTAGAATCTGGGCAATGTGAGAGCAGCCGACAGCACTTCACACCAGCTGTGGTGGCCAAGTGACTTCCATGTGACTCCTCCAGGTCTAAAGAAAAAAAGTATTCAGGGGTGGCGGGGGTTGGGGCATCCAGATCCTGTCTCCAAACTCTGGGCCTGAGAAGCTGGGCAGGCAACACCCAGAGACCAAATTCAGTGGTCAAAGCCGATCATCAATAGTCACCTCCTTGGTCTTCCAGGGACCATAAGACAAAGGCAGAATAATTGTAACAATCATGGTGACAGATTGCAACTGGGGGGTACAGTGTGACAAGCTGAGCACGGGGCAGGTGTCACCCATTCAGCCATCACGAAAAACCTCATGAATTAGGAGTGCTGTGAATTCAAGGCCGTCCCAGGCAACATAGCAAGACCTTTTTAAAAACAAACAACCCCCTCCCCCGGGATACCTGTCACCCCCAGGAACCCTGAGGCTGAAGCCCCAGAGACCAGCCGGCGGTGGTGCAGGTGGGAGTTGATCTTGGCGTATCATTCAGACCCCCAGAGCCGGATTCCATTCCTGGGAACTCACCTACCAGCTCCCCTGGCCACGGGGCCCCAAGGCGTTCTCCATCAGAACAGGAAACTCCCAGCCACACGAGCTCAGGGCGCTGGCGCCCACAGATTACCTGTGTCATCCAGTAGCAGTCTGAGGTGCTGAAGGAAGGTCCCCACCTGTGAGTGGCAACCTTGGCAGGGAGCCAAAGCCGGGGCTTCTGCTGCAGGAAGAGGGGAGGAAGCCAGTGGGAGCCTGAACTCCAGGTTCTGCGGAGCCCCCCTGGTGGCCATGCAACCCTACTGTTGCCTCGAGCTGTCATGACAAAGTCCCACAGATTAGGTGATTTAAACACCAGGAATTCCTTGTCTCCCAGTTCTAGTGGCTGAAGTCAGAGACCAAGGCCTGGGAACTGTCCCCTCCCCCTCAGCTGCTGGACTTTGTGTTCCTGGACTCCTGGGTCTCTAATCTCAGCCTTCGCCCCCACATGGGGGTCCCCTGTGTGGTATGTCCTCTATGTCCTCTTTTATAATGATATGCCAGCTATATTGGATTAGGGCACAATCTAATGAGTTCATTTATGTACTTTCACGTTTTTTGCAGTGCCGGGAATTGAACCCAGGTCCTGCAACTGCTAGGCAAGCTCTGTACCACTGAGGTACATCCCCAGCCCTTTTTATTTTTTATTTTGAGAAACATTCTTGCTAAGTTGCCCAGGCTGGCCTCAAACTTGCCATCCTCCTGCCTCAGCCTCCAGAGTAGTTGTAATGATAGGCATGTGCCCATGCCCAGCGGGCTCATTTTACCTTGATTACTTCTGAAAAGACCCTTTCTTCAAATAAGGTCACCTTCTGTGGTACTGGGGCTTTGGGGTTCAACATAGCTTTTCTAAGGGACATAATTTAAACCATAAAGATGACTTCAGGTAAGTTGGGCAAATGCTCTGAGCCTCACTTTACTTACCTGTAAAATGGGGTTAGTAATCGTTCCTCCTCCTCACCCAGAGCTGCTGTGTGGGAGCACCGCCGGGAGGAGCATCACCTGCAGGAACCGTAGCACCCAGCTCATTGTTGGCACCCTGGAAACAACGGCTGTAACTCCCCTGTTGTTCCTAGAATGAACTTGGCCTAAGGCATGGAGTACCTGCATGGACACCTGAAGAGCGGGGAAGTGCCAGCACTGGGGACATGAGGGCTCGCCTGGTCTTCTGGGAGGCCTTTGACAGGCGACCCTGGTCCTTGTCCGGGCTCCAGCAGGGCTTGGACTGGCCTTAGCCCCTCTGGGCGAGGCACTTGGAGGCCCCCTTCCAGATTTGCTCCCGTGTTCGGCTTGGGGCTTCTCAACTCCGGCACTAACGATGCCTGGGCTGGGTTGGGTGCTCCTGAGCGTGATGGGGTGTTGAGCTGCCCCTGGGCATCTGCCCATGGGATGTAGGTAGCCCCCCTCCCTGGTGGCAACAGGAGATAACACATTGGACATCACCAAATGTGTCTGGAGGGACAAAACCACTCTCTGGGGTTGCAGGGTGCCTTGGGAAGGGTCCCCAGGATGCTGAGCCTTCCCGACAATCACGGTTGAATTCTGTCTACTCCCTGCTGGCTTCTCTCTGGCCGCCCACACACTGATCCCTTGGAGAACAGAAGAAATCGTCTGGAAATGAGGGCCCCGGACGGCATTTGAGGCAGGAGAACGTCACCACGGTGGACTTGCCCCACGTGCGGCCAACCCTCCGTCCCTCTCCTGCTGCTGCAAGCCTGGCTTCCTAGGGTCACCTCAAGGTGGCCTGGGCTTGGCTGTAAACAGGCAGCAGGAAGTTCCGAGTGTGTGGGGCGGAGGCCCTGGACTCCTGGCTTGCGGCAGCTGCAGACCCGGCGCTGACAGCCCCAACTTATCAGGGCTGGAGGCCCAGGCTCCAGATCCGCAGCTTGTGGGGTTTATCAGCTGCTAGAGTGACAGAGCTTGCAGCAATCCTGCTGCCACTGTGGGTGCTGACAGCCAGGAGCTGGGTGGCAGAAGCAGCTTCCCATGGCCTCCCGAGCCCAGGCACAAGGCGAGGCAGGAGGGGTTTAAAGGAAGTCACCGTGTGGGGACGAGAGAGAAAGAGAGGAGTGGAGGGCTTGCTTTCTCTCCACCCAGGGACACCATCACTGAGCCACCTCCCCAGCCCTTTTTACTTTTTGAGACAGGGTCTTGCTGAGTTGCTTAGGACTTCACTCAATTTGCTGAGGCTGGCCTTGAACTTGCAACCTCCTGTCTCAGCCTCCCAAGCTACAGCAGCTACAGTCATGAGCCACCACGTCCTGCTTATAACAGTCAAATTTATTTCTTCCTTCCCCTATCTGCCCCCCACCCTCCGCCTTTCTTTCTTCCCTTCTGTCTCTGCAGCATTAGAGATTGGACGCAGTCTGGCACGTGACGACCAGCGCTCTACGGCTGAGCTACCTCCCTAGCCTCGAATCACTTTAAAAGGGGTGAGGATTTTTCCCACCGCCTGACCTGTCTGGGTAACCATCCTCTTGCCCCTTGTGGCTAACACATTTTCAAGCATTTTGTGGCTTAAAAACAATACAAAATTATCTTACAGTTCCAGACCAGAAGTGTGGGTCAGCACCACTGGGCTCAATCAGACAGGAAGGGCCTTGCTCCCTCCTGGGGCTCCAGGGGAGTGTCCTTTCTGTCTCTTCCAGTGTCTGGGGCTGCAGGTGGCCTTGGCTGGTGGCTGCGTCACGTCCATTCCTGCTTCAGTTGCTTCCCACTGCCCTTTGGCTGCCCTGTGTAGGGCTAGCTCCTCTGCCTCCTCTCGTGGGGACGCTTTTGCATGAGGAGTTCCCCCGGGTGATCCAGGACAATCTCCCCATCTTGAATCCTTCATGAAGGATCTTAGTGAAGCATCTTAATTCTGCCACCTTATCTGGCAAAGACCTTTTGTTCCTCAGGTACAGTGACATTCGCAGGCTGCAGGGATTCAGGTGAGGCATCTTCTGGGGCCTTTAATCCGCCCACTCTGCACCCCATCTCGGCGCCCTGGCCTTCCAAGGCTCCTCAGCCTGCCCTTTGCTCTGGCTCCTTCTCCTTCCTTGGGACTCAATTAAAATGTCACCTCTGTGGAAAGAGCTTCTGGCCCATTCCAACGCGAGGTGGCCTTTCCTGTTCCCGCCTGAGCCTGGCCGGCAGCAGTTGCACAACACCCCGCGTTGGTGAAAGAGGACTAGAAGTCCCGGCTGAACGCCGATGGCCGGAGGGGATGGAGGGGACGCTGGGATTCCCACACCTGGAACATTCCCTGAGCCCTTCCCTGCCTTTGTTCTCTGCATCTGGACAGAGTCAGCCCCGGGCACTGAGATGCAGACAAGGACTGTCCAGGCTGGACGGAGCCTGTGGTATATCTGCGCTGGCCCCTAGGCCTTTCCCCCACCAAAGCCTGGGCAGGGGTGTGGGCAGCTGCACTTATGTCCACGGCAGGCCAGGGACAGGAGAGGTCACCGAAGGGCCCTGTCTGGCAGCAGTCACCAGCAGAAGGCCACCTTCCTGATACATTCGGGAACCCCTTGGGGACAGAGTGGTGGGTGAGAGCAGAGACTGGCATTGGCCTGACTGGCCACCACCACCTCCTGGTGTGTGTTGGGGGGCACCCAGTGTGATTAAATAAGAGCCTCTGTCAGGGCACTGATGGGCCCAGGCTCTGCTCCCGAGGTCAAAGGAAGCAGGCCGGCCAACCCCGTGTGCTCCCTGCAGTCACCTTGGAGTGTTTCCCGGGCCTGGGGGGGGGGGCTCTGGGTGTCTGTGTGACACAGGAAGGGAGGAGGGTTCCTGGACCTCGGGTTCCTTTTCTGAATGAATCTTAAAGTCTCCTTCATGGTTGTTTGTTTGCTTTTGAGACCAAGAATAGCTGAGGTGCTGGGTGACAGGGGTCACCCCAGGGGACATAAAACTGAAAACTCGCCCAGGCAGAAACTGACAGAGCTGCAGGGCCCTGGGAGCTGGCCCTCGGGACTGGTGAAGTCGGCCAGGGGACCATGTGGCTGGGTGGGGACAGTGAGCGTGAGCCTTACCCCAGGGTCAGAAGAGCCAAAGAGACTAATGGGGTCCCAAGAGCAGCTGTCATCTGTCACTGCTGGTGAATGACAGTATTTTAAATTATCCTTCAAAAGCCTGGAATTCTGTCCAAAGCCACTTCATATCAAGCAAAAAAAAAAAAAAAATCCTACCACAAGGGACTTCAGAATCACCAACGGGGGACAACCAAGCTGTGGGTCAGCTTTATTCTCATAAGTGGTCCCACCCAGGGATGTTCTGCGGCTCTCTTCTTCTTTTTTTTTTTTTAACGTACTGAGAATTGAACCTGGGGTGCTTAGCCACTGAGCCACATCCCCAGTCTTTTATAAAAAATGTTTATTTTTTAGTTGTAGTTGGACACAATACCTTATTTATTTATTTATTTTTATGTGGTGCTGAAGATCGAACCCAGGGCCTCGCACGTGCTAGGCAAGTGCTCTACCACTGAACCACAACTCCAGCTCCTCCCTAGACCTTTTTATTTTTTTATTTTTATTTTATTTTTTTTAAAGAGAGTTTCAATATTTATTTTTTAGTTTTTCGGTGGACACAACATCTTTGTTTGTATGTGGTGCTGAAGATCGAACCTGGGCCGCACGCATGCCAGGCAAGCACGCTACCGCTTGAGCCACATCCCCAGCCCCGTAGACCTTTTTATTTTTTATGTTGAGATAAGATTTTGCTAAATTGCTGGAATTACAGGTGTGCACCAACAATAGGATCTCATTTTAACAAATGACATCTGCAAAGATCCTATTTCCCAACAAAGCCACACCTTAAGTTTCTGGGTGCACATGAATTTGAGGGGCGCTATTGAATTAGTACAATGTCCCTGTCCGATTTTCTCGACATGCCCTGCCTATTCTCCCAGTCCCTGGCATTGTTCTGTGTGATCCTTTAAGTGGGGGCAGGAGGTGACTTCAGGTCACAAGCCATGGGTAGGAAGACACAGGCAGCCTCGGAGCCTGTGGTGCCGGCCACCTTCCCTGGGGAGAAAGTCCTGGGCGGAAGGCCAGCCAGAGGTGCTGGGGCCCCTCCCCGACCCCCAGCGTGGGGTGGTCACAGGGCTCCTTCTGGCTCTGGCCCTGTTCCTGGCACAGCGTGTCCTCCCTCCAACAGCTCTATTAATAACCCTCCTTACGTTCCAGACTGCCATTCATGCTCTGTCCCCACGTGCGCCCTCCACCTCAGGCCATCTGTGGGTGTGACCTCCAGGCCCGCTGGCTCCCTTCCTCTCTCCATTCTCAAAGTGACTGCAGGACACACCCACATGCCTCTTCACGGTCACCCCACGAAGGAAGTGGGCCACGGCGCCTACATCAGAGTCTAAAGGAACAGTGCCCGGCTGGAGGTGCCCGCGGGCTCTCCTGGGGACAGTGGCAGCGGCGGCCCCCATGGGTCCAAAGGATCCCTGATTGTACTCCTCTGACCCTGGTGACAAAGACCCCACGGACCCCAGTCCTCAGCTCTGAGACCCATGAGCACCTTAAGGCTTTGCAGTGAGGAAGCCTCATTCCTGGGCCTTTGTCCTGGGTAAACTATTTAACAAGGTCCTTTTCAGTGAGGTACAGTTTTGTCCCCCAGGGGACATTTAGCAGTGTCTGGAGGCAGTTTTAGTCGTCACAGTTTAGGTGAGGAGCTGAGCCCTCCGGCAGCACCCAGGAGAGCCCCACCTCCACACCAAGCTCAGGATGACCTGGAGCCGAGTCCAGGGAGCCAGGGCTGAGGCCACCACCTCACCTGGAGACATTTAAAGGTACTTATAGAAGCACTTAATTAAGCAAAAAATCTAGACACTATTTAAGCCCCAATTTTAAAATAGCTGATTATACTAAGAATATTAAACTCAGTGGACTGTTAAGCAGCCACTTAGAAGAATGAAAGTGGCGGCTCTTTCGTAGCAGGAAGTACGTTAAAGTTGCACTTGAACATCTGTGGGTTCCTCGAGTGATGAAACACGGTTTCCAATGACCCACCAATTCCACCCCTAGAGAAAGAGGAGAACCTGTGTCACATGCAGACGTGGGCGTGAATGTTCCCTGCCACTTGATTCATTGTAGCCTAAAGATGGGAACCACCCAAAGGCTCTTCAGGGGTGAGTGGAGATAAAGCGTGGTGGGTCCACACAAGGAAGGTTATGCCACCAGCAGGACGAGGTGTGCCCCAGAGGGTTAGCCCAGCAGCCGCCAGGCCAGGAGGGACAGGGAGGGAGAGAGGCACGTGTGAGTCACCCCTGGCCCTCTCCAGCATGTCCTGGGACCCTTGTGGGAGATAGTGGCTAAGAATGTGTGACAGGCCAAAGGGCGGCCTTAAAATAAGTCCCCAGTAGACCATGTGACATCCTGGCTCTGTCCTGTCCCATTTTTGAGTCTGGAGGGCCCAAGTCAGCCATCCCACCCTGGACACACCAGAACTGCCCGAGAACCGGAGCAGGGGCAATGACAAGGACAACGAGCACCCAAGTTCAAGGCAGGTGCTGAGGTGACGGAGCAGGTTGGAGAGGTCCTCCCGGAAAGCAGACAGCCCTCCCGTGGTCATTCAAGGAAATCTAACAAGCGGGGCTGTGGACAAGGTGTGGCGTGAGTGTCTACGCCGTCCCTCTGCTCCCCAATTCATCATGGCAGCTGGAGATGGCCTCAGGAGGCGCCTGTGCTCGTACCTGCTCCGGAGGCAGAGGCAGAGCCCTCAGGAGTGGAGTGACCGTCCACCCATGAGTGGACGAGTGTGTCATCACGGAGTGGCTGCGGGATCCAGCAGGCTCTCTCCAGCTCGCTTGCTCGTCTTGCTGTCTGCCCTGTCGTGAAACAGCAAGACTTTTGTCACATGTTGGTGTCATACTCTGACGCTCCCCAGCCTCCAGAACGTGAGCTCAAGAAACCCATATTGGTTACAAAGTCAGCCTATGGCGGTCGGTCACTAAGTTAGCCTGTGGCGGTCAGTCACAAAGTCAGGCTGTGGCGGTCAGTCACTAAGTCAGCCTGTGGCGGTCGGTCACAAAGTCAGCCCATGGCGGTCCGTCACTAGGTCAGCCTGTGGCAGTCTGTCCCAGCAGTGGAAGGCAGGGCAGGCAAGCATGAGGGTGGGCATGGGGAGAACCCAGCAGACCCTGTACCCAGGGAGGGCAGCGGCAGCCCTATCGCCACCCCGAGTCGGAGGCAGGCAGGGCTGGCAGAACAATCCCCTCCCTTACTTCTCTTCCTCCCTCTGAAAATTTGCAGCCTCTGCCATCAGTGAATCTAACATGGAGCCAGAGGGCACATCAGTGGGTCCTCAGAAGCCATACAAGTCAGCCTCATGGGTGCTGAGGGGTGGGGAAGGGGGGAGGTTCAAGATTTCCAGTCCAAGCTGGGCGCAGTGGTGCACGCCCACAGTCCCAGGGGCTCAGGAGGCTGAGGCAGGAGGATCATGAGTTCAAATCCAGCCTCGGCGAGACCCTGTGTCTAAACAAAATACAAAACAGAGCTGAAGATGTGGCTCAGGGGGTGAGCACCCCAGAGCTCCATCCCGGGCTTGGAAGCTCAATGGAAAGGCTGAGGAGGTGGCGGGGCAGTGCACTAGCCTGGCGCGTGCGAGGCTGGGGGCTCGATCCCTGGCGCTAAAAAGGAATTAAAAACAGAAAAGCTCAGTGAGGAGAGAGAGGAGAAGGGAGGAGAGGGAGCCACCCTCGGAGGAGAAAGCCCATCCGAGTGGCCGACGTGGCACTCAGGCGTGGGATGTGGCGGGTCAGTGGAGCCTCGGGAAGGGGCTTGAAGCGAGTGGGTCATGGGGACTGTCTCATTAGGCACTGTGCCTGGGAGGGAATCTGGGGAACCCCCCGACAACTGTGGGATCCCCTCTGTCCGTGGACTTGCTGGGGCGGGGCAGGGGTTGCTTTAACCAGTGGACGATGATGAGGAGACTCCCCTAGGAGGACTGGCAGCTTCCCTTTCGGACCCTCACTAGGGGACGATCCACCACCACTGACAGCTCACGCTGGCCGCCCGCAGAGGCTGCGTGGACACCTAGGCCCTTCATCAACCAGGCCAGGCCTGTTCGGCTGACCCAGACCAGATATTAGGCAGTGAATGAGGACGTCTCCAAGTGACTCCCGTCAGCCACCAGCTGATGACACCCCTAAGGGGGACCCAGGGGGCCAGGCAGCTGAGGCCAATGATCTCTAAGCTTATGAGATATAATGAGATATAATGAAATGGTCGTCACTTGAAGTCACTAGGTTTCAGGTGGTTTGTTTTATAGCAGATCACCAAAATAATAGAGTGCCTGTTGGTGGCCCTGGGAGAGGTGGCCAGAAGGGGAGGAGGTGAGGGGACTTTAGGGGTTGAAATTGTGTCTCCCTGAAATTCACACGCTGAAGTCCTCATCCCAGGACCTCAGAGGGGGATGGCATCTGGAGACAGGGTCTTTCAAGAGGACAGTAAGTTAAGATGAGGTCACTGACCCAATAGGACTGATGTCCTTCTCAGGAGACTGGGGCCCAGACAGGAACAGAGGGACCACCTCTGGGGACACGGGGAGAAGAGGCCATGGAGAGAGGCTTCGGGGTGAAACCCGCCCTGTTGGCCCCTCAGCTCCGACCTCTAGCCTGCAGGACCCGGAGAGGTAAATCTGTTGGTGGGACACCAGTCCACGGCGCTGGGCTGGGCGGTCCTCGAAAATTAATCCCAAGTTACACGGACCCAGTTTCTGCAGGAAAGTTTAAAGAGAAAGCAGATGGACCTCCCCCGACCCCCTGCAACCTTATCC